CTTGGTGCTTTGCCCCCAGTGATAATTTATTCATATAAATTACCAATGTAGTTTGTAAGCTGGTTTTATATGCATGAGGTCTCAAGTACTCTCTGCCTTACAGGACAGAGGTAGATCCAGTTTTGGTTTTTTTGTTGTTACAAGTTTATGAGCGTACAAGTGATGCTGTTTCATTTGAAGCCTGAGAGCTTCTGGTTCCATAACCAGAAATTGCTACCTGCTTCTTCTAATGGAATGGAGGGCTTTTCCTTCTTAGACCATCCAACTCTGAACTTGCTCTGAATCTCAAACCTTTCTATTCACAGAACAAACACTCAAGTGCTTTCAAAAGTTTTTCTGTAGATTAGGTTTATAAGCACCAACTTCATGACTTCTAAAATGTGACTTCTTTCATTTCCAGATAGCTTGAATACAGGTATCTACCAGTGATGTTGGGTGGATAATAAATAATACTAATACTTGGCTACTTACATAAAGACAATGTTGCCTATTTTTCAAAACTTTTTTCTTTTTTTTACCAATTATATTATTCCCTTCTCCCCAAGAGATGGACAGAAAAGCATTGTTAATCTCCTTTTACAGATGAGGAAAAACAAGATCAGAGGTGCTAACAGTGCTACAGCCTAGTGCCAGGTCTTCTGTCCCCAATTCTGGGTTTTCCCCAAGCCCATGTTTCTCCTTTCTCACAATCTTTACTTCTTCCTCTGACCCTCAGCACCACCCAAAATACTTTTAATTCTGGAAAAGAAACCCAGCTGCGCACCGTTACACTTGACCTTCATGCAGTCAGAAGCTTTGGATGGTTCCCCATCCAAAATATTAGCGACGAAATGAAAGCAAAGTAGGCATCTGACAAAAGTTGATTTTTCCCTTCTGCATTTGAGGACCTCAAGTAAGGTTTTTCCAGAAACTGCTATTATGCCATAGATTCACTGTACCTTCAACAACATAGACATACAATCTGGCAAATTAAAAATCTCTTAACCTACATCCCAGATCCCTGCCCATATTTAAGAAAAGAATCTAGGGTGGACACAGTGTTTTTTTCTGTGTTGAGTCTTCTGTAATGGGGCTAGGATATGTGGGAGCAGAGAACTGTGCAGGTGGGTGGAGCAGACCGGACGAGGTTCTATCAGCAATGGGAGGGGGCCTCCACTTTAGCCTCCCCGCCCCTGCTCCTCTCAGAGGGTTGCCTTTCATTGCATTCAGCTGTGATGGTAGCAAGAACACGGGCACACTGAGGATGAGGAGAGAGGGAGCCTTGTGCTCTCTCTGTATCTGAAGGAGGACAGCACAGGTTATGGAGCAGTCTGCAGAGAGGCCAGCTCATCAGGGAAGCGCTTGTGTTCCACCTTGGGCTTTGACAAATAATCCTAAGCAGAGCTACTATATGTCACACTATGGAATGTTCCAAGTAGGTGGCCATGTTTTCAAAAGATGTCTTTCTTCCTTTTGTTGTTGCCATTTCATAGGTTTAGGTTTGGGTGTATGTTTCTCTTCTCTGACTGGCACTTGAATGTTTGCTGACTCCTACTCTGTGTGACCAGGGCATACAGCTGTGAGCTGAGGCATGCCGTCCTATCATCTTTCATTATCAAAGCAGTCTCTTCTTTTTTGACAATTGAAGAAGCATCTGTAGGGAATCCAGAAGGAGCCTTCATACAGATGTTACAAGCCTGGAAGAAGCACAGGAGCACTGAGCTGACTACTGAGCCGGAGGTGCCCTCAGACAGCAATAGCATCAACTTGTCAGGCTTTGGGAGTGAGCAGCTAGACTCAGTGATGAGAGCTTGTGTTATATCTCAGTGAAAAATCTATAAGATATGGAATCAATGTTATATTCCTTAAACTGCTTTTTTCAAAAGTACAAGATGGCGATAGGCCCCCGGGTATTTAGAAAAACAAAATACAAAGAGCCCCTCTCTTCAACCTGCCTCCAACAACTCAACTTATGAAAATAAATTGAGAAAGCTTTATTTTCTAGAAAATGTGTTAGATGCAGAAATTCAAGAAAAAATCAATGAGGTTGAAAGGGAAGAAGAAACTGCCATGCTTATACAGTCTAGCCTTTTAGGTCCCAAATTTAAATACCCAATCTTTCAAAAGAAATTAGAAACTGTCCAACCACAGGAAAACAACCTGGCAAAGATTCAAAGTGTCAGCGAAAGCCTGCGGAGAATCAGCAGTCCTTGTGGGCCCAAGGAGCATCCAGAAGGGGCACTTTGAAGAGGTGGGAGAGTGGAGCATCAGGAGAGAACAGGGCGCCTGGGCATTTGTGAAGAATGCTGCCAAAGAAAAGTCTCGGGAGTCCAGCCCCAAGGGAGCTGGAACAGCCTCACATGGTGCAGGGGCCAAGAAGTTAACCAAGAAGCACTTCATCTCCCCAAGAAGTTAACCAAGAAGCACTTCATCTCCCACCCCCCATCAAATGATGCCTGTGAGACTAAGTCTGAAGGGGACTGATATAAAATGCTTCTGCCCAGCACAGGCGTGCAGTTTGTTCACCACACAAGAGCACTTGGCCGAGGGGGTGAGTGGGGCTGAAAATCCTGCCCATGCTCCATGCTGAGCTCTGGAGACATTGTGGGGCCCTTCCGGACAGACATGGAGGGCTTCTGAAAGTCCCGCATGCATGGAATTATTTTCAAGACCCCAGGTATGTGGTCTGCAGTGGTTCTTCTCACTGTGATTATGGACTAAGGTACTCATTTAGTCCTAATAAGACCAGAGAAGCACATTGTGAGAGGCGTGGGAAATGGCAGCATCGCTCACTGTCTTGTGCGTGTGTCTCCCCAGAGGCATTTTCAGATTTCTGCCACGTAGGAGATGCTCATGGTGAACTGAAACTCAGGTACATTGGAGGATTCATTGCTGTGGCCAGAGAAAGCAGAGGACACGCAAAATGCATATTTCCCTTTCTGTCTTCCAGGATGGCTTTTTCTAGTTAAGACAACCACTCTGGCTTAGGGATATGTACAGACTGCCCAGTGCTACATGCGTGAAAAACATGGCACAGAAACGTCACGGCAAGGAGTCTTCCAACGAGAATGACATCTTTCACAAGGACGTGGAGTAAACCACAGAGCCTTCATGGTTCCCATCTAAAATCAGGAGGGGGTGAAAAGGTGAATTGCTCCTTTCAAGAATCAACAACCTTGGCATTTTAATTTCTATCCCAGGGGCAGCAAAGCCCCGACAGAGAAGACTCAAACCAGAAAGTCGTCTGGCTGCTGAGCGGAAGGAGAGTGAGGTCCCCTGGGAGGACCTCAGGCTTCAGGCCTCTGCAAACTTGGGAAACCGCTGCTGAGGTCCTTCCAGCTCCACAGTCCCCAGGCTGGTGACTCATGGGGGAATATGGAGGACAGCTGACCACCACAGCCTGCATGTCTGCTGCTAGCAGGGAGGAAAGGATGACTTCTACCTCCTTTCCATATTCCAAATTTCACATGACTGCATTTTTTTGGCAGCACCCTGCTGGCAAGGGAGCCTTGACGTGTGGTTCCTGGGCTTCCAGCACCTGCACAGAAAGGGGTGAAATGAGTGTCACAAGCAGCCACCACTCTGCAGCACAACTCCACATCCAGGCATGGTGGGGAGCCCCACTTGGAGGTGTCCTGGTGCCCTACCCACTTTTTGGTAGGCATTTGGGTGTCCAAGGCTTTGCAGAAGAAGCAGGCTATGGGTGGAGTCACGTGGTGGAGAGGCCTGGAGAGGTGTCATTCTAGCTGGGCAGTGGGTGACACGCAGTCATCCCCTTAGTGAATGCTGGGCCGGCTGCTGTGCTCTGTGTCTCCCTGCAGGCCTGCAGATCCACCAGGGGGCTCCGTTCCTTCTGGGCCAAGGCTGAAGAAGCCGCGGCTGCACCAGAGAAGGGCATCTGGGTGAAGGTGGAAGCCCACGTGGGCCCGCAGAACTGCCTAAGGCATCTTCAGGTGAGGGCTCAGAACTGTCAGGCTTTCATTTCTGCTTCATTCCATGGCCAAAGCAAGCCACGTGGGCAAGTCTGAAGCCAGGGGTGGGAAAGTACCCTCCACCCACAACAAAACCATGGCAAGCAGTAGGTGCAAAGAGGGCCGAGGAATTGGGGCCAGTAGTTCTATCTATCCCAGTGAGTGAGGAGCCCTGCTTTGGGGGTTGCACAGCTTGGGTCTGTTCTTGCAGTGGTGTCTGTCACTATGAACACACCACCATGGATTGCCATCAGGTGAGGGACCCTGACAATGCAAGAATCATGTCCTCTGCACACAACCCCACTCCCTTCCCCACCATGCCTAACACCAAGCCCAGCCCTCAGGGATGACTCAGGAATATTACTGAGAGCATTTTAGGCCATTCCTTCATTATCCCCATGTGACTTGTTGATAAAGATAAGTTCCTCTTCAAAGTTCACCTTTTTGAATTAAAGAGATTTCTTTAAATATTTCTTTTAAATCTCCACAGCTTTTCATATCTCACACTAACAGATCTTTTATTCTACTAATAATTATTTGTTAAGCCCAAGTAGTTGTTAAATGGAGTAAAATAATAAGTATGTTTTGTGTTCTTATATTGTAACCAAGGCCTGTCTCATTTGTTCCCTAAGTCTGTCCAGACATGCTGAACATGCCCAGGCATGTCCCAGCTTGCAGCCTATGCCCCTTCCTTATTTGGAAATGTTATTGCCTCCCTAGTTTCCTGTAAAAAAATCCCCTCCCTTCCTTTGTTCCCCATTGTACCTTTACCTATTTAGGAAAATTTCAAGGTTTTAGCCAGTCGGGACCAGTTTAGATTGTGAGGTCCAGCTCCAACCAATGGAGGTAGGACACAGCAGTAGAAGCCCAATGCGTCAGGGATAAAAACTCCTGCCTTTCTTTGTTCAGTGTGCTCTCATGGCAATCCACCTTCCAAGAAGCACCCTTTCTGCAGAAAGTAAATTTGCCTTGCTGAGAAAATTATTTGTCTAAGTGCTGGTTCTTCTTTGTGGCACCGAGGAACAAGCATTTGTTTGTAACACTTGTTATGACATGTAGATTGGACTGGGTGCTGTGGCTCACACCTGTAATCCCAGCACTTTGGGAGTCTAAGGCAAGTGTATCACCTGAGGTCAGGAGTTCAAGACCAGTCTGGGCAACATGGTGAAACCCCGTCTCTACTGAAAATACAAAAATTAGCTAGGCATGGTGGTGTGTGCCTGTAATCCCAGCTACTCGGGAGGCTGAGGCAGGATAATAGCTTGAGCCCCGGAGGTGGATGTTGCATTGAGCTGAGATTGTGCCATTGCACTCCAGCCTAGGCGACAGAGTGAGACTCTGTCTCAAAAAAAAAAGAAAGAAAAGAAAAGAAAAAGAAAACATAGACTTATTTCCTAAAGTTCAGCACATAGTGCTAAGTATTTCCCCTGTAAGCTGTAAACAGACGCTGCCGTTTGAAACTGGGATCTGTCCCCAGATCTGTCAGACCACCAAATCCCATGTCTACTGCCACTCTCCAGAAGAAAGGGTTCATAGAGAGCCAAACACCAAGGCAGGTTAGTGAAATTTCTCTAAGGTTCATTTAAAGCTGGAAAGAGGCTCACCACCTGAAATGCACTAAGAGGAAGGCTGTCCAGGGATCCAGATGGACTTAAGGACAATTTTTTTTTTGACACAGTCTCATTCTGTCTTCCAAGCTGGAGTTCTGTGGTGCAAACTTGGCTTACTGCAAGCCTCAAGCTCCTGGGCTCAGGTGATCCTCCCACCTCAGCCTCCCAAGTAGCTGGTACTACAATCATGTGCCACCATGCCCAATTAATTTTTTAAATTTTCTTATAGAGATGGGGTCTCCCTGTGTTGCTCAGTCTAGTCTTAAACTCCTGGACTTAAGCGATCCTCCTGCCTCTGCCCCTCAAAGTGCTAGGATTACAGGCATGAGCCAAAGAACCTGTCCTCTTAAGGACAATTTTAAGAACACGGAGGCTCACTGTCAGAGCGCCTGCTGCTCTACAAAGCCCCTTTTCCCCTCTCACCAGGACAAAAGCAAGATCAGCCCCAGATGTTTTGCCTTAATGGCCATCTTTCTCAGGAGACTCTGCCACTTAGAACTATGATTAACCCTAAAGAATGCCACCAGCACTACCGAATGCCAGGCATGGGCCACATGGGTGGCAAGTATATTTTAGAGCAGTGATTAATGGTAAATTATTTCCCTCAGCCCCTAAAGTTGACTATTCAATGTTAAACTATCTCAGACTCAGGACGACAAAAGTGGAGGCATGAGGAACCTAGGGTTGTTTTGAAGTGTCTTGGTTACAGTATATGTAGAAGATTTTAGAGCTTGTTGTAAAAACTTGATGACCCATGGCTCTCCAGGCTGGGTGAGGGATTGCCTTTGTAAATTACAAGAGGATATTATGCAGCAGTTTTTAAAAATGAGGCAGACTAGGCCAGGTGCAGTGGCTCATTCCTGTAATCCCAGCACTTTGGGAGGCCAAGGTAGGCGGATCACCTGAGGTTGGGAGTTCAAGACCAGCCTGACAAACATGGAGAAACTCTGTCTCTACTAAAAATATAAGAGCAAAACTCCGTCACAAAAAAAAAAAAAAAAAAAAAAAAAAAAAAAAAAAAAAAAAAAAAAAAAAGTGGTGGGGGGAAGACTGGGGCAATCTGTCTCCAAAATACATAGGCGCTGTTAAGGGAATACAGCAAGATGTAGTAGGGCATGTATCATATGCTACTGTGTACCTTGCATTAGCTGTACAGAACTGTGTGGTCCGATACAGTAGCCACTAGCCACATATGGTTACTTACTTGTAAATTTAGGCCAGGCACGGTGGCTCATGCCTGTAATCCCAGCACTTTGGGAGGCCAAAGTGGGAGGATAACTTGAGGCCACAGCCTGGGCAACATACTGAAACCATTTTTCTACAAAAAAATTTAAAAATGTAAAAGTTGGCCAGACACGGTGGCTTGTGCCTGTAATCCCAGCACTTTGGGAGGCCGAGGCAGGCAGATCACCTGAGGTCAGGAGTTTGAGACCAGCCTGCCAACATGTAGTGAAATCCCGTCTCTACTAAAAAATACAAAAATTAGCCAGGCATGGTGGTGCACACCTGTAGTCTCAGTTACTTGGGAAGCTGAGGCCGAATCGCCTGAACTTGGGAGGCAGAGGTAGCAGTGAACTGAGATAGTGCCACTGCACTCCAGCCTGGGCGACAGAGCAAGAAAAAAAAAAGTAGCCAAACATGATAGTGTGCATCTGTAGTCCCAGCAACTCAGGAAGCTGAGGTGGGAGGTCTTGAGCCCAGGAGGTCAAGGTGGCAGTGAGCTATGATCGCACTATTGCACTCCAGCCTGGGCAACAGAGTAAGGCCCTGTGTCAAAAAATAAATTTAAATTTAAATTAATACAAATTAAATACATTTTAAAAGTCAGTTCCAGCTGGATGTGGTAGCACACACCTATAATCCCAGTCCTTTGGGAGGCCAAGGTAGGAGGATCGCTTGAGGACAGGAGTTTGAGACCAGTCTAGCCTATGTGGCAAAACCCCGTCTCTACTAAAAATACAAAAAATTAGCCGGGCGTGGTGGTGGGCACCTGTAATCCCAGCTACTTGGGAGGCTGAGGCAGGAGAATCGCTTGAACCTGGGAGGCAGAGGTTTCAGTGAGGTGAGATGTGCCATTACACTCCAGCCTGGGCAACAAGAGCAAAAGTCTGTCTAAAAAATAATTTTAAAGGAATATTTGTCAGAGAATCAGGATAGAACATACTTTATTTAACAGCCTGTTAGTTTAATTTATAATTTGCAACTATTGAGACAGATGACCTGTGGCATCCATCTGTCCTCTTGCCCTGAGCTGCACATCCAGACTTGACTCATAGGCCCCAGCTTGGGTTTTCTGGTTCTTTGAATAGGTAGGAATCTACCAGGGCTCATGTTTTTCCCAGCTGCGGGGCTGGGTTGGAGGGTCCCTCTGGTTCCCCTTTGAATGTTGCAGAAACCAAATTTCCAGCATGTGGTCCTGAACTATGGAAACCTCTCCCCCTGCCTGGGACTCTCACTCTCCAGACGAGTTCATTCAGGTCATCTGAGGCTCCTGTAGATTTTTGGCCACAAATGGTTCCTCATAAAGTAGTGCCCCCAGGATGTTCAGCCTCCCCCCTGCCCCTGCAGGCTTCCTATCCCAGGGTGCCATGTGCTGTTGCCCTCCTGGGAAGAGAAGTCTGGAGGGGCACGGGGCAGCACTGCCCGCTTAGAAGCCCCTTGGGCTTTCTGTCAGATCCTGTCGCCCTGTTCCAGAGGGAAGAGTGGGCTGTCAGTAACAAAATGTTTTCTCTTTTGCCCCTTTTTTGCTACAGTTGGTAGAAATTCATCCCAGACTTCCTTGGTAACTAATGATTTTGGGATGTTGTGGCCTTCACTGGGAGGAGACAGGTTGTCAGGTCACCGTTTCACAGATGGTTGACCCGATGCCAACCATAACAGGCAGGTCTCCTTTGGCTGCAACTCACAGAAGCCCAATTCAAACATGTTCTGTGAGTGGGGACATTTACGGAACCTCAGAATTGAAGGAAGTGGAAGGTTGTGTTTGGGTCCCGGAAAGGGTTAACCATGGGACTGGAATCCCATCCAGACTCCACTCCCTCTTCACGGAGTCTTAGCGTCTCAGAGTCTTAGCGTCTCTGTGTCCTCTGGCCCAGCATCCACAGGCTTCTTGTGAGAAGCTGAGCAGCTTTACTTGCTTCTACTTCCAAAAGTAGTGACTGGCACACAAGCATTCCTATGCCTATGTGGGGGTGGTAGGGGACAGGGCCCTGGGACTTGCAGCCCCCACTAAAGCCCCATGAGGGAAGGAGTTCCCCCAAAGGTGGTGCTGTTCCCAGACAGGAAGGGAACAGTCAGTGCTCTCCACCCCGTCCCGCCCAGCATTGTCCTTACAGATGTCACCTGTCCTTCCAGGCCCAGCTGCTATTTCTGCCTGACACTTGGCCAATTTGCATGGTTAAAATCAGCATATTTCCAGGAGATGGATGATGTTACAGAACTGGGGTTCCAGAAGGCTAGGGTGGCCCGGCACTCCCGCCTTCTTTAGAACACAGAGAGCTATTAGTTAGACAGGGCTGAAGCATAGGTGGCAAGGAAGAAGAGGCTCCTACTGCAGACGGCCTTGTTCTACGAGTCCTCCCAGAAATCCCTGGGCCATCTGGAACCCAGGGTCACAGAGGGATGGGATAGAGGTAGGCTGTGAAAGGGGGTGGGAACACACCTTCTGGAACCACTGTCTTCCTTGAGGGGACCTCGAGAGGGGGCTTAATGGGCAAGGATGGAGGTTCCTGCTTACTGAGGCTCAGTGACACCAATCTCTGAGGGACCCTCCTGAGTCAGTGTGGGGTAGTCAGTTGTTTGCCTGAAATTCTAATTTACCAGGGGATCTTGTAAATTTTAGTTGCTAAATCTGTCAGCTCTGGGGGTAGGAGGATGAGAGGAGCAAAAGAATGATCCCAAGCTCAAGCTGGTGTGGAGTGAGTCTTGTACAGAAAAAGAGACCAGAGAGGAAACAAGTCCACCAGGGTAGCCATCTTGTCCGAGCAGAAGCCGCGTGACACCTGAAGGCGGTGGATGGAAGAACTCAGGCCTCTGCCTCCTCAGCAGCATACACCTAGTTTAGGGGAAGGACATACCTTCCCTCAGTGACAGAAAAAGCCCCAGATTTTCAGTCTTCACAATCTACGCATCTGACAAAGGACTAATATCCAGAATCTACAATGAACTCAAAGCAGTAAGAAAAAAAAAAAAAAAAAAAAACCAATCCCATCAAAAAGTGGACTAAGGACATGAATAGACAATTCTCAAAAGAAGATAGACAAATGGTCAACAAACATATGAAAAAATGCTCAACATCACTAATGACCAGCGAAATGCAAATCAAAGCCACAGTGTGATACCACCTTGCTCCTGTAAGAATGGCCATAATTTTTTTAAAAAATCGAAAAACAGACGTTGGCGTGGTGCAGTGATCAGGGAACATTTCTACACTGCTGATGGGAATGGAAACTAGTACAGCCGCTAAGGAAAACAGTGTGGAGATTCCTTAAAGAACTAAAAGTAGTATTACCGTTTGATCCAGCAATCCCACTACTGGGTATCTACCCAGAGGAAAAGAAGTCATTATTTGAAAAAGATACTTGAACACACATGTTTATAGCAGCACAATTCACAATTGCAAAATCATGGAACCAACCCAAATGCCCATCAGTCAATGAGTGGATAAAGAAACTGGTATATATATATATGATGGAATATGATGGAATACTACACAGCCTTAAAAAGGAATGAATTAACAGCGTTTGCAGTGACCTGGATGAGATTGGAGATTATTGTTCTACGTGAAGGCCAGTGGAGGAAAGGCCAGAGGGCTAGCAGTGAAGGGGATTCTGGGCATTGCTCTACATGGGAGACTCAGCAAGAACCATGTCATGTGTGTGGAGAAGTTACTGAGTGTGAGGCAAGAACCACGTCTTTTTTCTTCGCAGGGTAGAAAGGAGGTTGCACTATTCATGCTGGCCACTCTCCTACTAGCTGACAGGATGCTGCCTAGGATGAAACAGGGTGCGTGTGCACAATGGAGTCAGTCCAAGACTCCTGTTCTCACTCAGGGATTCTTCATTTCTTCTTCCTATTGCTTCCACTTCATGTTATTTTCTTCCCTTTCCATTTACAAGTAAAACTGACCAGAGCCCCAGGAATAAATGGTTTTCTTGGCTTCCTCCTTGCTCCCATCTGGACCCAGTCCCCTGGTTCCTGTCGGTCATTTGCAAACCAAGAGGACCACAATAAACAAATCTCCATATGTTTTGAAATATTAAAGCATTCACTCTGCAAAGAATGTGTCAATTTATTCATTGTTAATTCTACATATATTTGAGTACATAAAACAGTAGGAGTGTACTAGGTACGAGAAGGAAGATAAAACAGAACTATTTTTCTTGAGGTGTTCATAATCTAGGTGGAGAAGCAGAGATATCCACAAACATTATAAGAGATTATTAAATGTATAATAAAATCCATAATTATTGCTTTGAAACAATATCGGCGTCCAAAAATTCTTCTGAATAATAATTTTTGAAGTAAAACAGAAAGCTCAAAAGTAGGCAATGGGTGGGGCTAAGGGTCTGGTATTGGGGTGGAGAAAGTAGTGATGGGATGGAGAAATAGTGGCAGATGCCAATGATTTGGGGGTAATTTGGGAGAATAGGCTAGGATCTAGATGATCTAAAAAAGACTTCTCTGAACAGGATCTGGTTTGCTTGGGGGGTGCTGATGTGGAGTAGAACATGTTTAAAGAAAAGGCAAAGGCAGAAAAGTGACAGTTGAAGGAATGTCCAGCATAGAGCCACCATCAGTAATGTCTGACCAAACTGGGGTTTTATCTTGGACCACTCATTTCTCTACCTCTGAGTCTTAACTGCTTCTACTATAAAAGGAGAGATTTGACTATTCAGTGGTTCCCAGACTTTTGTTTTTCACAGGTCATAAAATGTAAAAAAAATTAAACCTGAGATTTTTAATTTTTAATTATGATGTCCAAGTAATAGCATTGAAGCAACTATCCTCTATCTATCAGCATCTTTTCATAAAGGGAGGTCATACTTGTAGAAGAATGGAGTGGAATCTATTTTATGAAATTATTAAAAACCTGATTATATTTTCCACATTGTCCTCATTTTGTAGAGTAGGGGTGGGAACTTTATCACAGCATGGGTCTGAAGACAATTATTTAGAAACCACAAGAGACTTGTCCTGCTGGGTCTCAT